ATTAAGTATAATATTAAATATATATATTTATTATACATTATTAATATAAGTATATCATTAATAATAGTGTACATAAAAATAAAGAAGATTTTGTGAACTTATTTACATATAGTTAATTAGATCATATTTACATTACATGCCATTCTAAAAATATTTACAACATCATACTACTTTACACACTATTTATTTCTCTCACTTCTACTACAATATTTACATTGATGGTTGAAATAAATTTACAATTGGATTAGTATATGGTTGGCAGATGAATTTTTTTTTACTATAATAGGTTCATCAATAATAGTGAGTTTTCTTGGTCGAAAAAAAAAATGAAGATAATCATATGCCTTGAAACGTAACAGAGTTGGAAACAACATCCACATTTCAATTTCCTCCAAGGAAGACAACAGTAATAACAACTGTAAAAGGACCTAGAATCGCGGGTATATCCGTCTATTTGTAATATATTTAATTTTAAAAGCAAAGAAAAATGAGAAGTGAGAAAAAATATTCAATAAATACAAATAATTCAATAGAATGTACAGAATTATTTATAACCAATATTAAGTGTATATATATATATATATATATATAATATCAACCAACAAAAGGATAATTCATCTTAAGTCCTTACTCATTTTAATCCCCAAAGTCAAACCTCCAACTACAAATTAATTCAAAATTTATTCCTTATGGCCATAGAATAACATTTATCTTTATAATAAATGAAGAAATAACAAAAAGATGAGCTTAGGATATTTTAACAAAACTATATTATTGTTAGAATTAATATAAAAATAATTAAGCTAAATAAGTTTAAATATTTTTAATTATTTAAAATTTAATATAATATAGTTTACAAAAATAGAATGTATTAAAGAATATTAATCTATTAAATGACAGTGATAAGCATCACAAAATAATTAAACAACATAAATTAGAAACACCTTATTAATTATTAAGAGTAAAAAGTATCTCAGATTAAGCAAATAAATGAGGTTAGAAACATCTCCCTAAGTAAATAAACATAGATATAACATAAAATAAACAAATATAATAGTATATAAAATTTAAAAGCATAAAGGTCTCCTCCCCCTTACCTTAGTAGGAAAATGATATGATTTGGAAGTACTTAAAATTGTATATTTCTTTTCTCTTTTCTATCTTTTCTTTTTCTCTCCTTCTTCTTATAATTCTTTCTCTACGTAGACTCTCTCTTTTCTCTTCAACAATTTTGAGATCCGTGTGTCCCTCACCCATGGCCTATTTATAGCAAAATTTGTAATGATTACTTTTGGTTGCATTATAATGATACTCCCTCCGTTTTTTATTTCATAGTCATTTTGTCATAATTTTTTTATTTTTTTATTATTATTTTACTAAAATTAATGACTTATTAATTTCTTTTTTCCATTTTTACCTTGATAATTAATGTATATTTATTGAACAATGTGTCTATTTATTTCTAATGTCTATTTATTTTTTCTCCAACCACCTATGTGAAGTTAATGTTGCATTTATAAGGGCAATATATTCCCAACGAAATACTACTTATAAAAAAACAAAAAAAGGGACAGCTATTTACGAGACTCTTTAGCTTTAGAAAGGGTAGAAGACTCTTTACTGTTCACATGTAGTAATTAAATGCATTATAATTAATAGAGTAGATTAAGGAGTAGGTTACAGTTCACATTGTAATCAATGCATTAATAATTAATGGAATAGATTACAGTTCAACAGTATCAAAAATGAAAAAAAAAAGGTAGAATAGGAAAGTAAGTAATAAATATTTTTGAAAACTAAAATATCAATCATTTTCTTAAGTCCCGTGCAAAACCTTAAACGACTATGAAAAAAACGGAGGGAGTATATAGTTTGGTTACTATATACTCCCTCCGTTTTTATTTCATAATCGTTTTGTCAGAATTTGTTATTTTTTTTTCATTGTCATTTTACTAAAATCAATGACTTATTAATTTCTTTTTTTCATTTTTACCCTTGATAATTAATGTATATTTACTGAACAATGTGTCTATTTATTTCTAATGTCTACTTATTTTTTTTCCAACCACCTATGTGAAGTTAATGTTGCATTTATAAGAACAATATGTTCCCAACAAAATACTACTTATAAAAGAATAGAAAAAGGGACAACTATTTGCAAGACTCTTTAACTTTAGAATGGGTAGAAGACTCTTTACTGTTCACATGCATTAATAATTAATGGAGTAGATTAAGGAGTAGGTTACAGTTCACATGTGTAATTAAATGGAGTAGGTTACAGTTCACATGTGTAATCAATGCATTAATAATTAATAGAGTAAATTATAGTTCAACAGTATCAAAAATGTAAAAAAAAATAATAAAGGGTAGAATAGGAAAGTAAGTAATAAATATTTTTAAAAACTAAAATATCAATCATTTCCTTAGAGCATCTACAATGGGAGTTGCTTATAAGCAACTCCCCACCACTTTAAATGGGTCCCACTGTGCCACGTCACTCATAAGCAACTCATACTATATTTTTACAATTTTTGCTCCAATGGAAATTGCTTATAAGAACTCCTATTTTTTTACAACTCATACTACACTTTTTGACACCTCATACTACATTTTATAATAAATTTTTATAAAATTAATTATTATAAATAATATATAAATATAAATAACTAACAAAACAAAAATTATAATAATATTTAATTTCAATAATAAAAAAATATTACATAATAAAAAATATATAAAAAATTACAATAATAAAAAGAAATCAAAAATTATAATAATAAAAAATACAAAAAAAAAAAAAGAAATACTAACGTCTCTTGTTTTTTTTTTTTTAATTTACGTCCCTCTTTCTCTTCACATTTCTCTTTCTTTTTCCTTTCACTCTCTCTTTCTCTTCACTCAAGCTTTCACCGGGGGTTAGTCGTGCGATGAGGCGCGCGCACGGAGGGGTTAGTAGTGCGAAGCCGCACGCGCGAAGGGTTCTATCGTGCGGAGAGGCGCGCGCGGAGGGGTCTCTTGTGCGGAGCTGCGCGCTGGAAGGTTCTGTCGTTCGGAGGTCCCGCGCGGACTGGTGGGTTCTGTCGTCGGAGGTCGCGTGCGCCGAGGGGGTTAGTCGAGTAGAGGTGCGCGCGGACTGGGGGTCTCATCGGGCTGGTCAGGCGATTCCACACCGGTGAGGTCGGGTTCAACGGAGTTGCGCGCGTGGGGGTACTCATGACGGTGGAATCGCGCGGGTTAGGGGGGTTGCTCCATGGCCGGGACGGCTAGGGGCGGGCGGAGACACGCCGCCGGCAACGCGCGACCGGCGACCGGTTACCGGCGTCGACAACCCTTCCTCCAACGTCCAGCAGCCTTCGCACATGCCCAATGTAGGAAGAACCTGAAGATGGAGGTTTTATTTATTTTATTTATTTTCAAAACCCTTTTCATATTTCACTTGGATTCCTATCAGCCAATCACGTTTCTCTTTTCAAATTTGTTAGTGCTAACCGTTCCTTGGACAAGCAACTGAAAAAAAAAATAAGCAATCGGGTTGCCACCTAGATTCACTCCAATGGAAAGTTTTTATAAGCAACGTTGCTTGTTCTTAAGCAACATAGTAAGCACCCTCCGTTGGAGGTGCTCTTAAGTAAATGACAATGAAAAAAAACGGAGGGAGTAGTTACATAGCTAGTTACCATGCAATAAATGTTTTAGATAAGCCTTATTTATACATTTAATGTAGATAAGGTATTTTTTTCTTTCTTTTCAACCTTCTCTCTTCTATAATATATATATATATATATATATATAAATTCAAAACAATTATTTATATTAAACATTTAACAATTTTAAATATTTATTTTTAGTAATAGTAATTAAAATATTATTCTAAAAAATATTATAAATAGGGTTTTAAAATTTTATAATGTCATTATATTTTATATATTTCTATTTTAGTTTCCTGAAAATATTGTGATAAAAATTCTAATGCATTAAAATTATATAAAAACATTATTTAATATTTATTTATTTTTAAAATATGATAACCAGAAATTTAAATTATTATTTTTAAGAATAAAATAATAATAATAATAATAATAACTAAGAATGCTAAAATTATATAACATTATAATTGAACATTGTATTAAAAATTTGGAATGTTACATAATTTAATCTAAAATATTATTATATTAATTTTTACATGATTCATCTATTATCATGATTATGATTAATATTGTAATTTTAATAATTAATGAATATTTAGTGGTTAAACTAAAACCACAATTTTGACAAAATTAAATGACTAAAAATAAAAAATAAAATTCAGATTTAGATATTATAAAAAATTAAAAGTGTAATTTTTTTATAATTTATATTTTATATATATATTTTTTTATTTCTCTTCTCTTACTACATTATTCCACCCTAAATTATATATTTTTATTTATAAAAATTACAACAGCAAATAACACAATCAGTGTAAAGTTTTTTACACTGGTAACCAATCATATCTTTTAAATTATTTTACTTTTTTTTAGTTTATTAAATAAGCAAATGATATGACACTATTAAAAGATATGATTGATTGTTGGCGTAAGAAAAGTTAAGAAAACTTATGTATAGGTTATTAACTATTGAAGTTACCATGTATATTCTCTAGCTTTCACCTACCATGTATATTCTCTAGCTTTCACCTATAGGCTAAATTGAGCGGTAGTGTGGCCCCCTCCACCTAAAATAATTAAGTAATCATTAAATAGTCATTGGAGAAATATTAACAACATAAATTTTTTCTTTAAAAACATTATTAAAAATTACTTTATAAATTTAGGAGAGAGAAAGATTAAATAGATTTTGTGGTCCACAAAATTTGACGTTTTTATAAAATAAATTTTAATTAATAAAATAGCATGGTTGAAAGTTTGTTGTTATTAACATTGGGGGTAAGTATAGATATTTTATTTAAGAAATTGAAGAAATGGAATCTCAATTTGTGTGGTTGAAAGAGTTGGTGCACATCCCCATTAATTCCCAAGAGCCCACCCATATGAGTGCATGCATAGAATAAATAATATTGGGGTAATATATATATCTTCTATCTACCAGAGGTCTCTATCCAGAGAATCATGGCAGAGGAAAAGTGGGAAGGTAAAGCGGTGGCGGAGCTAGCAGGAACGGGCGCAGAAGAAGCATGGTCGGCGTTAGAGGATTTCTGCAACCTCCAAAAGTGGTTCCCCATCGACACATCTTACCGGCTAGAGGGGGTTCCCGGTCAACCTGGCCTCACCCGCTACTGTGCCTCCAACGTCAAAGGAACCATCATGTGGGCCAAAGAGAAGCTTCTCTCCATCGACCCCCTCCAACGTTGTTTGTCCTATGAAATCGTTGACAACAACCTTGGATTCAAGTCCTATGTTGCTACCCTTCAGGTGCTGCCCATCCATGAGGGTGGATGCAAGATCGAGTGGGGCTTCGTGAGTGATCCTGTTGAAGGCTGGAGCTTCCAAGATTTGAAGGGATATGTTGAATCCACTATTCAGTTCATGGCCAACAAGATTCAGCTTGCTTCTTCTTCTCTTGCTGCTGCTTAATTAGCTCATTCTAGGATTTTAGATCGAATAAATTTGTCTTCTGCTGCATATTAATTGTTATGTCTCGCTCTCGATCTGCTCCTACATCCAATAAAATCTTGCCATGTCATTTTAATTATTTATTTATATTTTCATTTTCTCCGGGTGCCTTTAGGTTGATGAGAAAATAATTTTGTTTTTCATCATCGATAAAGAGGAAAAGGAGTTTCATATATCGACTAAGATAAAAGTAGGGTGTTCCTCGATCCATTGGTTAGATTGTTTAAAAATAGGAATTGTATTTTTTTTTTAAAAATATGATATTGAAAAACATAAATTAATTTTATTCTCATGCATGAATCAATTTTTCTTTCAAAAAATAAACCAATTTTGTAAACACTACGTACACCAAATATTACTTTTAAAGATAATTTGTTAATGACAATAAATTAATTTGTAAAAAAATCTTCTTATAAAGGTAATTATCTAAAGCTGACAGTTTTACCCAGTCACTTTTTAATAGTTTCTTTTTATATAGTTTTGTTCTTTTATTTTATTTTATTATTTCATTCTTAATTGTATTACTCCATTTTTCAATTTTCATTCTCTCATGCATCGATCTTTCTCGTTAGCATTTGCTTTTTATTTTTATTTTTATTTCATATCTTATTAATCATTCTCTCTCCATCACAATAATCTTTGTGATTAATCGCATTTTCTCACTCAAAGATTATATTGTATTTTAACTTCAATTTTAGTTTTATAGTAGAAATTTAAATGGAATAATTTATTTATTTAAAGAATTTTAAATTTTTGAGATGAAATATTTTGTTTGGATGGAGAATTTATAAGGAATTTGAAATTCAAGGAATTTAAAATTCTTGGTATTTGAATTACTTTGATTTCAATTTTTATTTCTTAAAATATTTTGTTTGGATAAATCAATTCAAATTTCTCAAAATTTTAAATTGTTGGGTTGGATATGATAATTTGATTCCACTATAGTAAATTTGATTTTAAAAATATATTTATATGTTGAGATTCTTAAATTAAATTTTATAAAAATAAATATTAACTAATTTTTAAATACTTAATAATTTTAAAATTAATATTAGAATAATTAATAATTTTAAAAATATTTTGAATATTCAATAATTAAAAATATGAAGAGATAAGAGCTAAGATAAAATATATAAGTGAAATAAGAAGAAAAAGAATATGAGAAATTTCACAAATGCTTGAATTTCAAATTCCTTATAAATTCTTCATCCAAACAAGATATTTCATCTCAAAAATTTGAAATTCTTCAAATAAATGAATTACTCCATTTAAATTTCCCATCCAAATACATTATAAGGCAGAAGTACGGATAATTGTAGTTTCGTAGCTAATGACATGCACCTACAATGAGGAATTATAAATGCTGAAAATTAAGGATCTAAACTAATATAGTAAAACCAGTATTAATGATATAAATTAATGCAAATTAATGTATTAGACTTTAAAAATTTTATGTTCTCAATTAATAAAAAGTTAATATTAATATGATTTTTAAGACAAATTTATAAAAGTCAAGTTTGCATAAAAATAATTTGTAATTTAATCGTAGTATAAAACTGTTTTATAATGTTGATATATAATTTTTAATGTATTAATGATACATTATTAACACACTGAGATTTTCATTAATTATTAAATTTTAGATTTTATAAAAGATGGATAATTTTTATAAATATATTTTATTTATATGAAACATGTGATGTTTATTATAATGTGTTTTTATCAATATTTGAGCAAATGAGGAGTGAATCTTAGTCAAAATATTTTTATTAAAGGATTAAGTTTTAAAAAAGGGTTATAATAATTTTCTTATTTTGCGTTCTCATCTTTTTCATTCTATACATATACACTGAAGAATTAGGAGAAGAACTAAAGTTTGTGGGAGATCACTTCAGAGATTCACGTTCTTTGACTAGTGTTCATCAAAATGTTTGGGAAGTGAGTATAATCTCACTCTAGGTGTGAGATAATTGTTGAGTAATGAGATTGGTCCTCAATTTCTTTTCTATTTTATGTGCTGTATGAGGGAAAAATCTAATTTTGTATTTGATTCTTGGTTTTTGTCTTTTATATGATTATTCAATGTTCTAATTGATGTTATTGACTTGTACATATATATGCTTAAATTTGTCCATCAAACTAATTTTGTAGATCTTGGATTATCCGTGGGTTCCTATGAGAACCTTAATAGAATGTGTTTTGATAAATTGTATGAGAAGTTGAGACGAGAATGTAATTATGTGTAACTTGTATTTTTAGATGTGTATCTTAACCTTTTGAAGTGTTTTACTAACTGAAATTGTAAATGAATAAATTATACTAGTTGTATGTAGTTCACATTTTCTGCAAGTTTGATTTTCTAATACGATGTTAGACACCATCGTAGGCTTGTCAAGCATCGTTGTGGGCAAGAGCATATTTTGCTCTCTATGTCACCCATGTCGAGTGCATGGGAGCTCCAGGAAGCTCCTTGTGCCTATTTCACTAAGTGTGAGGTGAATCACATTGGGTGTAGATCGTCTAGAAAGTTGTGTGCTCTTTGGATGTGTCACATCAAGTGTAGGTTGATTATCATTGGGAACCGTCTTGTGTTTGATAACTTTTCTTTATTGTAGCTATTGGTGAATGATATCAATGTCTCTTATGCTAATTAATGAATATGATTGAGTATGATGATTGAATTTATATAATTATGATGTTATGATAAATGAACATTACAAATAGAATGATGGCAAATTGTTGTGAATATGTATATTGATAACATGATATTACACACACACACACACACACACACACACACATATATATATATATATATATATATATATATATATTATGATGGTTATAATAACACTGGTGTAACTTTTACTAATTATTACACCACTCAATAACTTTATATTAATTATGAATTTTGTAAATCCAACTGCTAGATTGAAAGTTCATATCACTTTATATGTGTATATCAAATTTTGTTAAAATTGAACAACAGCTTGAAGGTAATCAAAGCGTTCATATTTTAGTATATTTTGAAATAAATATATTACGTCAATTTTATTTTATAAGAATAAAGTATCAAATCATATTTGATTAATATAAAATTTTGTATATATGATCTAAGAGTAAAGAACTTTCAATCTAATGGTTGGATTTACAAAATTCACACTTAATATAAAGTTATTGAGTAGTGTAATACTTAGTAAAAGTTACACCTGTATTATTATAACCATCCTCTCTCTCTCTCTCTCTCTCTATATATATATATATATATATATATATTTTGATTGACACCACATGCATGCATATGTAAATTGTAGTTTATGTCCATTATATTACATGCGTGAATGTGTATGACATGGTGAGTTATATGATGGATGATGTGGGGAATCTTTATCGAGCCAATTATACATGATTGGCATTAATTTAATTGTTTATATATACATTGATGATATGTTGATGTTGTGTGTAACTATCTAGCCTTATTCTACACAATAAGTTAGAATGAGATATTTCTTATTCTCTATTTTCTATGCTGTCTTTTGTATGTATATTGTTGCAGGTGAGTGTTGCATGTCAATTGAAGACCCATGCAGCAAAAGAAACACAACTCAACAGAAACAATAAACAACATAAGTACATTTCCTTTAATGAACCAACACAAGGCATGTTCATTTTGGAGGAGAATAACACCCATAAATGTAAATAGAATGAGCTACATGCTCTTACTGCACAGCCACCAGCCTACAGCCATCACAAGTTGCCCCTACTACACCTGCAAAAAAGGGCAACAACTTTTCAGCAAAAAATGTGGATCTAGCTTTAGCCCATGGAGAGAGGAGGGGACTTTAAAATTCACGAATCCACTCACTACAGGGTTGAAAAAAAGCACCTCCATTCTTTCCTCTTATCATTTCTTTAGTGAAAAATAGTGAATATATTAAACCCTCCATGAGCCCATCGGTATAACTCTAGCATTCGTAAACTATACCATAACTTTTACCATAACACAATTGTCAATCACAAAGATTTTGACAAACAAGCCTCTGACTCCAAAACTCTTATTCATTGAAACCAACAATGCTTCATGAAATGACATGTCCAAAAAATGTAAGGTTTTTTCTTTTTTCAAGCTTTGTTTCACAATCCATTTTTTTTTACATCTTTTGAAAAATGCTCCCTATTTCACATAATTTTCCATTCATAATCTCTTCTATTTTCTTATAATGTTATTTACTTTAAATAATTACTTGTGTTTCATTTCATTTGTGAATATTATTATTATTTACTTTTACAATACTCCTTATACTTGTATACGTCTTATTACACTTTTATCATTTTAATATCGCTAATATAACATCTTATTTCAATTTGTTCGTTTGATTACTGTCTCGTACATATAAACATGTACAAATGCATATAATAAAGGCCAATAGGCCAAACAAAAATAGAATAAAAATTGTTATGCGTTTACAGTTTATTTTTATGATGATAATAATACCAAAAAGTTATGTGCATCTATGTGACGGGTATGATGTGGAGTACACTGTTAGGAAAGACCCTTCTTGTGTAACAACTTGGGGGAGTCTTAGGGGATAGTGCGGTTTGAATGTCTCGATTTCGCTCGTTTGTGAGCACAAGATGTAACTTGCTCAGCTTTGCTATCCCGACCAGGCCCTAGCAATACATCTTTCTAGTTGAAAATGCATGGGTAGCTCCCTATATAAACTCTTAGACTACCTTAAGTGTGTTGTTTAGGCAACACATCAGTGATATGTGATATGTGATTGACGATACATGCATGCATTTATGAGTTAAGTCCCTAACATCATTGTATGATAAATGATTATGTATGTGTTACTATTATTATAAGATAGGCTAAAATAATATTTTTGTCCCTTATAATAATTGTTTGTTTCAATTTAGTTCCAATTTTATTTTTTGTCTTAATCTGATCCCTAATAAATTAATTGGTTGCAATGTCGGACTTCTGTCCAAATTATTTAAACGGAGTTAACTGTTGACCACGTGGATGCCACGTAGATGCATAGGTGGATGCCAAACTTTTTAAAAACACCTGGAACTAGACGACCCGTTCTGA